CTCTCAATATTCTCTTAAAAGTGTAATGAAGAAGAAATCTCTCACCTTTCCTCTTACAATCATTACAATCATTGAAGAAAATCTACAAACAAGCCCTTGCCTCTCTCTCTCACGCCACACACATACACACACACACACACACTCACACCTCATGCCCCAAAACTGCTCACGCAAAAACTTCTCCTCAAGTCCTAGACTTCCCTCTCTTTTATAAAAGGCAGCCTCCCTCCAAAATGAATTCAAAATTCCCAAAAGTCAACTCTTTTGAATTCAAAAGACATGTTCATTGATCCAAGAGACATACACCTTCATAAAAAAAATATTTCAAAGTGTCTAGATGCATTGAATCACTCCAAGGGGTGTTTAGAACAAGTGACCCTTTGAAAATTTGTGCAAAATTTGTTTTGAACCTCCTGTTTTGAACCTCATTTGTTTTGAACCTCCTTAATCCGCCAAAAGTCGTCTTCGGCGCATCATGCACCAGTTTTGGTGCATCAAGCTCTAGTTCTCTAGCTTTTGTCGCATCATGCGCCGGTTTAGCGTATGATGCGCTGGTTTGACACATCATGCGCCACTCTGCAGCAGTTCTACCATTTTGTTTCGTTTGACTCCGTTTCAACTCTGTTTCACTCTTAATAGATATACCTACAAAATAAACATGAAAACAACATTTCTTTAAAGTATAATTTTATTCAAAAATATATGAGAAATGTAAAGTAGCTTAAGTATAGAAAGACATATCAAAATGTGTTAAGTCAGAATTTTTTTTCTTGCTCGTTTTTACTCTAAATTGCACCATTTTTACTTCAATTGCACCTTTTTACTCTAAATTGCACCATTTTTACTTCATTTTCTCTAAAAGTTCATTTCTTATACCTGAAACCAAGATATGCAAAATACCTTCCTTTAAAGTGTAATATCATTAAAAATCATTAAAATTGAGCATAAAAAATATATAAAAAGTAGGTAGTTTTTAGGCGTATCAGTTACGATGACTAACTCTATACACTACAACCTAGCTTTATTCAACAGGTTGAAACAACCTGATGGGAATTCAAGGGTTTACAACCAAATCAATACATCCGGGCGGCTGATGTCAACCAACCAAATTAGTCCCATTGACTATCTTTAGAAATTCAACTGATTGACTATCCCATGGATGAACGGACCGATAATCCTTACACAACCCGTCGATCGACAGTATTGATCACTTCACCTCATCACCCCAATCGACCAAGCAGAGGAATAGTAAGGCCCTGGACCCACATGATTATAGTTCCTAAAATAACATGTATAAACCCTATTTAATAGATGTATAAATCTAACTTCAATTCTTGTACCCCTTTGTCAATAAATAATGGATCATTTCTTGAATAAAAAATTATATAATTCCCTCATTTTATTATTCATTAGCGCACATCTCTCTCTCTCTTTCTATTGCTTCTGTCTTATGCTCTATTCCTTTAGTGTGATACATAAGACAATCTCAGATTCAACATTATCATGCAAATGTTTAAATTTTGAATTAATCTACTTAAAGAAAGGAGCAAATGTTTGCTTAAAGTAGACCTGAATACATAACATGACATTTTTTTAGTCTGGTTAGTTCCAAGAAATCTAGTTACAAATTTCTTTTTTAATAAATGAAAATTAATTTTTGGATTTCCCAAATTATCATGCATATTGTATAATATGATTACATACTTTATAATATTGATCTATTAAGATTAATTTGAAATATTTAATAATTTTAAATTAGCTTCAATTTAAGTTCTCTGTTGTTGTAGCTTTTTCCAATCAATTATTATTTGGAACATAAAAAAAAATTAAATACTCACTACAATATACTATTAAATATTTGAGTAGTTGATTTATGTTTGTTTGGGGCAGCTGTAATTATCAATAATCTACTGATAAGCAGCTAATCTGAATAAGCTGCTGACCAGCAGCTGATCCGGATAAGTTGGTTGACTGTTTGGTTTTTACCGTTGGAAAATAGCTGTTTTGCAGCTATTTTTGAATAAATGATCATTCTGTTTTGGTGTGGTGATGCTGCTTATAACAGAACAACCAATTTATTATCAAAACACCCCACCCAATGACCTCTTGTCCCTCCCCTCTTGTTGCTAAAACAATAGTTTCCTCAACCTCTCCTCAATCAGAACAATACTAATTGAAAGCAAATTCAATGAAATTTATTTGTAGGATAGAATGTAAAATAAATTTGCCTTGACAACAATTATTCTCAACACCCCCGATCCACCCTCAAAGTGACCTATTATCCATCCTTACTTTTTGCTCTAACAACCCCTTCTCAACCTCTTCCTATACCTCCTCTCTATGCACCAACATTCAACTCCCCCTCTCCAAGCATCACCCTCTACAAGCACCATTCCACCATCCTCCCTCATTGACTGCCACTGCCACATTCTCCTGAAGTATTTTTTGTACTCTAGGCACTCAACTATTATAGAAACCTTGTCAACAATCACAGTTACACCCTTTCCATCCATTCTAAAAACCTTCCCAATCACTGCAATAGCCAAAAAAGAAGCTAAATGCCAATCTGATTCTACTGATCTATATGATCTCAGAGGAGATATATGATTACGCGCAAGTTTTTCTTTTGATTCCTTTAAAGCACAAGAGTAAATTTTATGTGGGTTATTTACATCAGCTTCCTGCATATACAATTCAATTGAAATATTGCTTTTGAGAATAACCAAACTAAAAATAGCTTCTTCATAAAGTTTGACAAATATAAAAGAAATATCATTTGCAGTGTACACTTCGTAAAGATTTTTTAATATGGTTTTCCTCTGTTTCTCCTTCTACCCAAGATGGATTAACGATATTTAGAGGAGCTGAAGAGCGCGAAAGTGGTCAGGGAATAGGAAGTAGAGAAGGGTTACCTTCCATAGTGGTTTCAAGTAAGAGCGGAGAGGAATGAGGAGAAAGATGGGAGTTTCGGAGGCCCTTGTACGCCGTGATTCCTTCATTCTAGCTCTAATCGCGACTGTATCGTGAGGTTTCGGTCACGAAGGCCATGGTTCTGTTAGGCAAACAGGTAAAATCATGAAAGCAAAATGCGGGTCGTAGGGCTCGCTTGCTGTCGCGTTTTTTAAAAATTTCAATAGGCTTTTTAAGATAAGCAGATGGAACATGCAATTCCGACATTTTCGAAATGCCACCGCAGCGAAAAACTGCCCCAAACTGAGCCTTAATCTACTTGTTCATCACAAACTGGTATTCTCTGTTTCTTTAGTTGATTCACATTATTTTGAGTTGTAATTGTCATAAAAGCTCGATAAAATTTTTTCGTTCTATTGCACCTATTTTAATTTTTGAAGACGACCAGTTTTATTCTAGGTTTCTATAAAATTATAAATTATTGAGGTTATATTTTGGGGCATTTATATAAGTTTTATGTATTTGCATATGTAACATCCTAGCTCTGTACGTAGTATAAAGGGAGAATGAGAAAATATTACCTCAAGATTTCACAAGGATAGTTGCCTGCGGAGTCCAATTAATGAAAGCCACGTGGAATCCCGACCTTACAAGCGAAAATAGGGAAAATAAATAAAACTTCGCATGTGACCCGACCCGAAATACAACCCAATCAATTTTCCGACAGCTTTCATAAAATTATTTCACACTCGATGGAGTCGCTACTGTTCTATTGCTAGCTGAAGAAATATTTCGCACCTCCAGACGCATGCAGCTAAGGCCTTTGGAAGAAATATTTCTTCGGGTTTTTGTGTTTGGTTTCGAAGGATTTCTCCATTATACACTTGTCCTAAATTTTATTATTCTTATATAAGTTATTAATAAATATAAGTTATAACATCTAAATAAATTGTTTTTGTTCTATAACATACTAATAACAAACGAATAACACACTAATAATACATCAAAAACACACTAATAACACATAATAACACACTGATAACACAATTATATACTTCCTTAGTCCGCAGTATAACACGTGGGGAATATTCTTTGCATGTTATACCGCTGGTTATAACACCACCCCACGTGTTATAAGACAGTTGTATAACACGTCGTGAGGCGTTTTAACCCACGGTATAACACGTAGGGAATATTCCCCAAGTGTTATACTGCTGGCTAAGGGAGTGTTATAGGGCGGTTGTATAACACGTGGGACGACATTATAACTCACGGTATAACACGCAGAGAATATTCCCCACGTGTTATACCGCGGGCTATGGAGTGTATAATTGTGTTATTATGTGTTATTAGTGTGTTATTATGTTTTATTAATATGTTATTGGTATATTATTAGTTTGTTATTAGTGTGTTATAGAATAAAAACAATTTATTTAAATGTCATAACTTATATAAGAATAACAAAATTTAGGTTAGATGTATCATGGAGAAGTCCATCGAAACCAAACATAAACCCGAAGAAATATTTCTTCCAAAAACCTAGTTGCATGCGTCCGGAGCTGCGAAATATTTTTTCAGCTGACAATAGAATAGTATCGACTCCATCAGATGTGAAATAATCTTATGAAAGCGGCGAGAAATTGATCGGACTGTGTTTCAGGCTGGGTCGAGCCAGAAGTTTTATTTATTTTCCCTTATTTCGCTTGAGGCCGCGTTTATTAAAAATTTCGATGGGCTTTTTACGATAAATAGGTGGAACACGCGAAACAAATGCAATTCCGACGTTTTCGAAATGCCATTGCAGCGAAAAACTGCAACAAATGGAGCGTTAATCTACTTCTTCATCACAAACTAGTATTATCCATTTCCTTAGTTGATTCACATTATTTTGAGTCGTAATTATCATAAAAGCCTAATTAAATTTTTTGCTTATATTGCATTCATTTTAATTTTTGAAGATGACCAATGTTATTCTAGCTTTCTACAAAATTATAGATTATTGAGGTTATATTTTAGGTGCATTTATATTAAGTTTTATGTATCCGTACTTGCTATAAAGTACTCATAAAGTCTGTAAAGGGTGAATTTACTAGGCGCGGAAGAAAAGGGAAGATAGAGGAAATGGTAATGCTCTTCTTAGCCCTCTTTCTCTCTTTCAACTCTTCTATCCTCACCTCTTTCTCCGCTCCCAATCCGCCGAACCCTTCGCCATCCAACCCCTCGTCCCCCTCCTCCATTACGTTTCTAAAGGTATAATCTTTCCTTCACTCCATTGCAAGATCCATTTCCTTTTCTCAGGCTAAAACCCTTCCTTGTCCCTCAGGAAGTTCTTCACGCAGTTGCAGCACAGGAGTGGGATCCGGAGGCGAATCCCAGGGTCTCGGCAGTGGATATCGATAGCGTTAGGGTTAGGGCGATCCAGAGCTTCGAATTCCATGTGCGCGTTGGTGGGGCGAAGCTGATCATGAAGTTCTCCGAGGAGACTGAAGCGTGGAGGAAGGCGGATAAGGGGGAGGTGGAGTTAGGGCTGGATTTGGTGGTATTCGATGTTGGGTACAAGCAGGGGATCGAAGCGTTGAGTCTAGAAGGGCCGCTTGAGTTGCTTGCCTATGGTGATGATGACGAACTCTCGGTTCATCTTCCCTCCGTGAGTTTTGCTCTTTTATTTTCGCATTCTCTGTGAAGGTTTCTACTGTTTGTTACATGAAAAAAAGTAACCTTGTTCTGTGGGGTGCTGTTTGATGCTTTAACATTGAATGAGTTTCGTTGCTGGAGTTATAGTAGTGTTATGTTTAACTTAAATAAACTCAAATACCAAACTCTATGGGTTTGAGATGCAAATCTAGTTTACATTAACTAAGGATTTACTATAATTAATCTGAAGTCACTTTACATAACAAAGATGTAAAAAACTCTATGTTGCTAAGAGATCCTGGATCAATGTGATATATTGTGACATTACGTTGGTTGGATTGATACATTAGCAAAATTAGGCAGGCTTGCTTTATGTTTGCATCTAGATATGTGTTTTAAAACATTGTGATCTACTTTTCAAAAACTATTGTGCTTAGCAATCTTGGAAGAACCAGCCATGCATGTAGCTATCCATGGAATTTTGATAATGGGAAGTGCACATCCGTGTAGCAACTCACCCTTCCTTTTGGGAGTAGTGCTGACTTTATTTCATAAATAATATAATACAATGTACTATTATTAGATGAAGCCATTACATACCTTGAAAATTGATAAATGCATGGAATCATAATGTATTTAGATGACACCACTAAATCCTAAAACTGAAATGGTAATTTTTCCTTTTTAGGGCGTGTCATGATGATTTCAGAAATTAGAAACAATTGTCAGTAGAACTAGGCTAAGTGGGTCTTCTTTGATTCCATATTTAATTACTAAGCAAAAGTGTGTCGTCTTTGATTCTATCTTCTTATTCAAAAGATGTGTTATGCTTTTTCAATTTTTTTTTTGGTTAATTCTTCTATTCCTGCAGAATCACGCTGTTGATTTCATTTGTTATATTACTCTCAAAGTTTAGATTTTTGTTTTGGTTGACATATTTTTGCTTTAAATGATTCTGTTTCCATACTCAGAATGTGATCTCTTCTCCAAATCTCAACATCTCTCTCTTATTATAATATTCATTGGCAACTTCTAGTTCATTTAGGGTTTTAGGGATACTACTTCAGACCCAACTCTATTGTTTTGAAGAAATGAAAAGTTATGTTAATATTATGTTTCATCTATACATATGCTATTTATTATATATGGTTGCAGCTAGTCATGCTTACGAGGTTCTTGCATCATTGAAATTTAAATGAACTAGTGTTTTGATTGAGGCTTTTCTTTTCTTTTGAATTTTTGGAGCATTCCCCAAGATTTGCTGGTTGATCTTCTCAATCCTATTAATTTTCTAATTCTTCCATGCAATACAATTAATGATATTATTCTTTCAGTTCTACAATGAATGTTTAATTAAAATAACAGTTGAATTGCTCTCTTTTGATAGGTTAATCGTGGTTGTTTTCTTGAAATCTATGTTGATGCGGGAAGTTCTTGGGCTTCTTTTGTTAAAGAAGACACAACATGTAGTCAATGGATGCAACATTTTATAAATTTCATGGGAAAGCAAGCTGCTAATCTCAACCTCAATGAAAGTATCAGAATATATAATGGTTAAAATCCAATTCAATCAAAAAGATTTTGGCTTTCTAAATTGATTAACTATAAAAGATTAAAAATGATGAAAGCAATGCAAGCCATTGAAATTGTAGAAAACCTAACATAGTTTAATTGCTAGATCAGTTCTAGGAATTGTAATGAACCTTATAGAATTGGCAATATGAGGAATTGAAATCTGTCAAACTCTATGGCTTTTTATAGTAAGGTTTGTCTGTTTTTTTTGGTGAGTTTTAGCTTTAATCATTTTTAACTTTTTGCTTGCAAACTTAAATGAAACGTTAATTGTTGCCAAGTTAATTTTAGGCAAATAAGGCATGGCTATAAAATTTTTCAAACTTAATAAAGTATTTAAAATGTTATGTTCATCTTATTTAAAATTCATAAGTTTATTATGTGTTTCATCTTTTTTAATGGAAGAGTGAAAAATAGCATTTTTAAATTTATATATTGTCCTTGATGCTGTAGCTATTATGTAAAATTATATGAAGGGATGTAATCAAGCCGAGCCGAGCATACCATACATTGGACTTCGCTTGGTACAATTATAAGTTGATTATGTTTGGCTTGAGCTTGTGTCGAGTTTTAACATATTGTTCAAGCTTGGCTTCTTATAAATTTTTAATACTTGAACTTGATTTTTACTTGATTTATTTATGACTAGTAAATGAGTATTTAAACAAGCTAAAAATTCAAACGTTTATCTAGATTTTAATGTAAAAAATTCAATAAATAATTTTACAACTCTGAATAAATGAGCAATTTAATAAATTAGATAAGAAATTAAATCAACACACATGATCTTATCTAGCGTATATAATAGGTATTTTTTCACAAGAAAGCATTCTAAGATAGAGAAGAAACATGGAAAGAGTAGGTAAAAATTCGACGGAACTTGTACTATCAAATAACTCATAAAGCAATTTCTTCTAATATATTAATATTAAATATATAATTAAATAAATTCTAACTAATCAAATTTTATTTAAATAATATATCATATATGATTGTGCTGTCATTGAGATCAATATCAAATATTTTACTTGTTGAACAACAAACGAGTTTGTTCATGAATATAAATGAACAAGTTTGACTATGTTCGTTTAGTTCATTTAACCTTTGAGCTTTTGAAAATGGTTCAAGCTTGCTTATTTACTAATTTAAACAAACATGGTCGAGTCTTAATTGAGCCAAGTTCAAGTTGTTCATCGAGTGCATTTGTTCATTTACAGCCCTTGTTATATGGGTTGATAATTATTTTGGTATCAATAAAGTTGCAGATAGTTAAAATTGTACATTTATTGAAATTGCGAAAACAAATTTGTAGAAATCAATTACATCTGATTGAGGCAGAGCTTTCATCTTGTTAAAGTATTCAATTACACTTAATGGCCTTGTTAGATTGCATGTAAGAAAAAAAAATGAAGAGTGTGAAGTGGTGAAAGTGAACTAATTAGATTGTTCGATTGATGACAAAATTTGCAAATGACTTTTTTCTTACATATATTTCCACAAAGTGATGGGTATTATTTTTAGTCAGTTGACCTTGGATTTGCATGCTCCAAAATCTTATTTTTGAATGTGATACTCTTACTATTATAGTGCCACTCACACATGTACACATGTATAAAAAACCAATTTATTACATAATAAATTATAATGTGCATTAAAGCTCTTTGCATGTTACTAATACCTAATGACTAATTTATTAATTCATGTTATCGTATATTTGAGAAAAATAGTATAATTGATATGCGTTAGTGTTGCACCTATAGGTATCCGTTTTCTAAGTTTTTTTTTTTGGCACTATTAGAATTTATTTGAAAATTATTATTTTTCTATTATGGTTTTTAAAAATTTCCAGTTTTTGTTTCTAGCCCGAATGAGAGAAGTTGAAGGTTGTTGCTATGTGGACAATCAATCATATAGTTCATGTCAAAATTGATGAAATTAATCTAAAATTTAAATTTTTTTAGTGTTAAGGCAGGTCCTTAAAGCAATATGCTATAACTTAACTCGCTTGTGGTAAGAGGTAGGCAAGAATTTGTGAGGGCATTACTTCCAAACTATGTGCCACAATTAAACCAGTTGTTGTAAAAAATAGGTAAGGGTTGACTTCACTTTTAAGTGACTTGCCTTAACTTAATGTTGTGAAAAATAAGGCAAATTACGTATAAATTAAAGGTTACTTTTGACATTGGAATTTGAGGATTTTAATGAGTAGAAACAATCGACTCCATAACAATGATGTTGGGAATTGTGATAAGCTGTTTTTGTTGGAAAGTTTAACAGTACGAATGAGGTCAAGATACTAGTGAAAAGAGAGTTGAAATTTAAAATAATTGAAGTGAATAGGATTATAATAAGGTGTTCACTATTTGGAACTATCAGTGCAAACATTATAAATGCTATTAGTATCTATGCTGCTTAAGTTGGATTAACTGATAGTTTAAAAATCAATTTTGATGTGAGATAAATTAATAACTAAAGCATGTATTCAAGGAAGAAAGAAAATTGGTTGATTTTGCTTTAAATGGGCTAATAGGTTCTAGCAGGATTGACTTTGAGGGGATTCATGAACATGGAAATTGAGATGTAAATGTATTTAGAGAAGCTGAATTTGATTTTACAATAAAGCCTATGATATTGTAATAGTGGACATATACTTTACGAAGCAAGAATAACACTTAATTTACTTACAAAAATGGAGCAATCATGTCTCAAATTGATTTCTTTGACTTTAGAAGAAAAGAAAAATCCTTTTTCAAATATTGTAAGTTGATTTCATTTGAGAGTTTGACTATGTAACATAAAGTGTTAGTTATGAATGCACGTAGTGTGAGTATAATCATTATATAATCAATGGTGAAAATTGAAATATGAGAAATTTTTAATCTCCAAAGATATGTTGGTAAGGGAGACATACTTGATTTTTTTTTAATTGAGCCAAACCTATGGTGTAGAGGTAGACCTAAACGGATTTGGGCATATTGTATAAAAAATGATATTAATTTATTAGAATTAATTGAAAATATGACACTCAATAGGACACAATGGAGAAAAATGATTCATAAAGCTGACCCCGCTTAGTGGGATAAAGGCTTGTTGTTGTTGTTGTTGAGCCAAATCTATGGTACAACATGCAACTTTCATTCAAAATATTACCATAGAGTTTAGGGGTGTGCATTATTTGGCTTAAACCGAAAAACCGAACCGAACCTATTTAATTTTGTTGATTCAGTTTGGTTTAAAAAAATTTTTTGTTACGGTTTTAGAAATGTTAAATTTTTGTTTTCGGTTTATGGTTTAGTTTTAATTCTTATTTAAGTGAATGAGCCGAAAACCAAATTTATAAGGTAAATCTTTTTTGAAATGTTTGGGAAGTAAATTTATTAGTGATTAACATTACATAATCATCCCTTAATAATCTTCTTTTTCTCCAATTATCATCATATT